TATGTGTGTGTGTGAGTGTGTGAGTGTATGCAAAACACACACAGGTATAATGTTGTCATGTGCATACTTATACCCAATTAATCCCAATAAAGTAGAAAGTCCGCTCTCTGGAGAGCCTTAACTTTTGGGTCGGTGTTTGACTGCTGAAATTAATATGAGTTAATTTATGGGCAAATATTTATATTTTTATATGAAATAGAATCTTGAATATACAACCGATTTGGGATATGATTTGAAGACTAAGCCAGCGTTAAATTCGATATTGAACTGTTACTTTTCCGAGTCAAGTCAAGTGTTCGTTTACGTGCTCAAAATTGAAATACGACTTTTGATCGGCAAATAAGAAATATGTGTAACGGCATAAATCGTGCGAAATCAAACTGATATCGTCAAAAAGTGGCCGGAATCGTGGGGCATGCCACTGACAACGCTGTCGTGTTGCATGCGGATGCACGGCAGCTGTCCATACTAAGCATCTACATCTACTTAGTCGCATAATTACTGCCGGGCGAAACGTGGGCCACTTATCACGCCAGTAGATAATATGTTGTGTGTGCAGTGCGTGTGTTGTGTGTGTGTGTGTGTGTGTGCAGTGTGTGTGTTTCAACAAAAACCAATTGGAAATTAGAAATCAGCGTCAATCGGTGCGGCAATCAATCGTGACTCTGTTCTTGTTGTTGTTGTTGTTGTTGTCGGCAATGCCGACAAAAGAGGAACGCACGCGCGGGGTATTTCTGTTATTCTGGCATTCTGGTTAAGGGTCCCACAATTCTCTGACTTTGACACCGGCTACAGTTCCATTCTACCCAGGTTTTTGGGTACGGGCGTCGGGCGTCGGGCTGCGTCAACGGCGGGCACTTGAACAGCACAAAGAGCACCGATTTGTTGATTTGTTTTTGAAAAGTGAGTAAATATGTTTCCATTTATGAATGTTTGGAAAAGTGTTCTGTATGTGTGCGTTTCGTTTGTTTTTTAGTTTTTTTTTTCTGTTTGAGCAACAATCCCATTTTGAAGTGGTCGATAAGATGCCAGGTGCTGATACCACGATACGATACGATACGATACCATATCAGTGTGCAACTGATAACAATGTCCACACGAGTGGTGTGATTGGTGACAGCAAACTCATTGGCTCTAGCCCCCAACTGCGACGACTCCAAGGTGTCTGCCATCACTCCGAGCAAACAATTAAAATGGCCATAAGTGCTAGGTGCTCTGTCTGCTCTGCGGATGTCTGTGTGTCTTTGTGTGTGTGTGTGTGTGTGTGTGTTTGCGCAAGGATTCCTACAATTTGCCACAAAATCTTTGGTGTCACTTGTCGTCTGGCCCAAACCCGAAGCACGGGCTCAAGGCATATACAAATTTATTGAAAGCAATTTGCATAGTTTCTGTTTAGATGTATTCATCCTTTTTGTGCGTGTTCCGGTGACTTTATCATTTGTCGTTATTTGGGCATAGGGATTTTATATTTTATTACTTTTCCGGTATGGGCTGATGCGCAAAGTGCGGAGGAGTGGAGAAGATTTCAATTTGAGAAGATTTTGTGAAGCACATCAGACATCAGACACTGTCAGCGTGTGTGTGTGTGTGTGCCACATACTGAAAAGCGACAATTTCATGTCCAATTGCTTTCCAGGTGACATGAAACAACACTTAAGCAAGAGGAAGCACAGCAGTCGAGAAGGGGGAGGATGAGGAGGCAGCAGCAGGATAAATGGGATGAAATGAGAGCTTGCAACTCCCATTCGTGCAGCTGCTGCTGCTGTCGTGCGTTCACACTCTTACCCCACACTCACACACAACACACACACACACGCAGACAACACTGTGTGTATGTAGATACGTGTGTGGCCTTCCCTCATCTACCTGATGCAAAGGCATACTATTATCTGTTAACGCTAAAATCTACATTTAAATTGTTTTCAATATAATCTGCATGTTGTCCAAAAATGGACGAGTTATTGTTTGACAAAATGCAAATACAATCGTTTTTAGTCCCATGCTGATTTCCCTCTGTTGTTAAATGAAGTGCAACATCTGCGAAAATTCTCACAAGCAAATCCGATGCCAAGACACATGGCAACTGTTCTTGTGCAAACTTAAGTTAAGCAGTCGATGGATTTCTTCTTTGGATTTCTTGGCGCCACCAAGTGTATTCAGTGTCCAGCCCAACAAAATGACTATTAACACGATCTGGCACTCAGACACTCAAGGGTACAGCGAGGAAAGAGTCCATCAGGACCTGCCCTCACTTCAGCTAGTATTTCTTGCCCATATGCATTTACTTACATTCATTATAAATGACGTCGCGTTAACACCCAAAAAAACACACAAAATACAGTCACGTCTCGTCTTACAAGAATTCCACCAAAAATACCATCGCCGATCTTTCATAAATTAGAATGCAATGGAAGTGGTTGTGCCCATTTCAAGTGCCCGAGGAGTTAAATTTCCATTTTGAAATTGAATTGTTTGTTTTTTGTAACACTCCAAGCACACATTCGGTTTCGTCTGACGATCGGGAAAGGCCAATTAATTTCGTTGATTTGGCAGCGTTCTATGAAACGGCTCTCGAATCCTTAGAAAAGGCTGTTTTTTTTAAATGCGTAACCACTATTTTTATAAGTTTTATTTACAAGTTGTAAAATATTTAGTTTTAAAAATAAATTAGGGCATACAATATTTAGCATTTATTGTAATGAACGCATTGGATTTCGTATTTATATTTGGTTGTGGATACAACGACAAAAAAATATTACAATGTAAATTAATTTAAGAGAAATATCGTATTATATTATTATCAAAAAATAAACAAATGTTTTAATGGTATATCCAAACTCGTAATAGAAAACAAATTAACTGGATTTTAGATTTCCCTCTCAATTGCATTTTATTGTCCATTAAAATACCAGATATTTCCGAATATAAATAAATTAGAATTAAATTTTGCATTCCATAAATCTTATTTATATACTTTTCGATTTTATTAGCTAAATGGCTATAAAAATAAAATTAATACAAATTCTATTCAGCGCTTATATATTTTTAGATTTTATTAGCCAATTCGATTTAAAAATACAATTCTTAAAATGCAAATGACTGTTGTTAAAAAGGAATATTAAATCCATTGACTCTGTGCGAACTTTGAAAAACTTATCAATAATAAATCATATTGTTTCAACTCGTAAGAAATTATTTAGATGGTATTCCCTAACAGATTAATATTAGTTACAGTCACAACCGGCGGGATTCAGTTGTGTAATCTTGAGTTATTATTAAATAATGATTTTAAAACACATGTGCACATATAATAAATATGCATTTAATAATACAAAAAAGTACATATAGTCAATAAATTAACTTTCTACTAAGATCCCATTGTTATATGTCAGAAATCGGATTAATAAAAGTAACGAATTCTATTGATCCTGCTGTGAACTTTTAGTTATATTGATCCTGCTTACAAAACACTTGCACATTATAATATTTATAAGCATGCAACTGCTAAATATAGTTTCTATGTTTTGATTTATTAAATGTTGTCGATTTAACAAGAATATGTATCTGCAGTCAGCACGTTTGTTTCTGTGTGTTACTTATAGTATCAACAACAACAATAACAACAACAACCAATAACAATAACAACAACAACAAGGAGTTGCGGAAGAAACTGAAAACTGTGCGAAGCCTTTCGATCGCAGTCCGCCATAAAAATGTTTCCAGTGTCAGCCAAAAAGGGGAAGCACTGGAAATACAACATGCGTTGTTGAGCTGCAGCTGCTTTGGCCGTTGCTCAGCCCTTCCAGTCGCGGAGGTGGGCGTTGTCGACGGCAACAGCCCCTGAGCGGCAATGGGAATTGTGATTCCCATCTCGCTTCCACCCATCTGAGGAGAGCAATCGCTTGAATGAGACGGCGCATGCATTGCGCTCTCTCTGGTTGGAACGACAACCGACAACCGACAATCGACAACAGCCACAACATTCATTTGCTCGCTCCCCCATACTAGTGCCGTCTAGCTCTCTCTCTCTCTCTCGCTCTCGCTCTCCCGTTGCTGTTGTCGTTGTCGTTGTCGAGTCGAATCGGCCTTGTGCCCCTGAACGGGCTGTTTGTGGCAGCGACAGACCAGTTTGTGTTTAAACGCGAATAGGCAAAGGCGCACATCTCAGCTGTGCCTGTCGACTGTGACTCGAATTCAGACTCGAATTCAGAAGCGTCAACGTTGAGAGGCCGCCACTCAAACTGGCCGACAATCAGACAACAAGACAGACAGACAGGTTGTGTGTGTGTGCCTGTGTGTGTGTGTGTGTTGAACTCGTTTCAATGACGATCGGTGCAAAAACCAAAACTAAGCCGTAAATAACAAAAAAAAAAAAAAATAAAAGAAAAGTGTTTGTGCAATAATCTATAGGCGTGTCAATAAATATATACTTAACACAATAAATTAGTACAAGGTATTAACTTCAACTACTTAAATTTATTGACCAAAGCGATCTACAAAATACATCAAATACGAAAACGAAAGAGAAACACAAGTAGAAACACATGTTTTTGGAGTGATACTCGGCACAACCTTTTGGCCCCGGTCGCCAAGTCAAGCCGTGTCGAAAGTGACCCGTGACCAGACCTAAAACCGGACCCGGACACCGACCCGTACTCGAATAACGTTAGCAACTAAGTAAATATAACCAGTGTCCAGCATCAGAGGACGATTTGTATGCTGTCGCGCCTGTAAACAGTCAATGTCAATAAAAATACAAATAAAAATAAATAACCAACAAAAAAGAATTGAAACGAAGTAAAAGAATAAAAACGCAAAGTCACACAAAAAAACAAACAAAACATTTTCCGGCTCCGGCGACATTAACAGAACTGCTCGACATCGACAATTTGTTTTATCAATTTTCAACAAGGCCAACAACACAACAAGAGCAACAAACAACAAACAACAGCAGCAGCAGCAACAGCAACAACAACAACAATCGCACACAGCAGCAGCCAACAAACCAACAAACAACAAAAGCGTCCAGAGTGCTTAGCCGCGCTTCGCGTCGAGCACGCACGCCACCACCGCCAACAACAGCAACAACAACAACAACAACGACAACATCACCATCCACCATCCTTCAGCTCCCAGCTCCCATCTCCCATCTCCATATACACATCCGCATCCATCTTCAGCTCCCACCACCCACTCTCCTGACCCGACCGAGTTGCAGCCACCCAGCCAGCCAACCCCTTATCAACAGCAACAACAACAACAACAGTAGCAGTAGAAGCAGCAGCAGCAGCATCATCAGAATATCCTTGCAGGGCGCGGGCGCCCCACGCTGAGCTCTCCAATTGTTCAACCTGCCGTTGCCGTTGCCGTTGCCGTTAACAGTTCAGCGTCGAAGACGAACGCGACAATGGCTGCATATGCGCAGTTTGGATATGGTTACCCGTCGGCAAATCAGGTAAGCGAGGACAACACGCTAAAAAATATGTCACGATAGAAAATTCTCTATATTTTACATGCTTTTTAGTTTCCATAAAATGACGATTTTTCATTAGAAGCAACATTTTCAATGAGAATTAGATATTGAATATTCCGTCTTATCTTGCCTTCATGCAACAATATCTGATTAAATTCTGAGCATGTGAAATCGCAGGTTTATCAAGTCAAACTCATATTACCAACAAATATTATAGGCTTTGGAGAGATATATGAATGCAGTAATATCAATATTTTTGGATATTATTCCAACTTATAAAATTCGTTGCAAAATGTTTCGAGCAAACGACTCCTGAATAAACCAGGCTTTTTAATTAGTTATTTAGTTATTTAACCTGTGGTCTCGACTTTTTATTATTGGCTATGGAAATATATCTGATTTCAGGATAAGCGCATTTGTAATTGGATATTCTTGAATTCTAAAAAATTCATTGAAAAACGTCTCGAACAAGCGACTAATGAATAGTTCCGGTTTTCTCACTAGAACTTAAAGGTTTTAGTCACAAATTGGTTACACGAAAATATATATTTTTTTAAAATACTATAATTATTTTTTAATTAAACATGCACTAGCAATATTTAAAAGAATATAATTTTATTGGATTTAGTATATACACATTAATATATATATTATTAGCAGTTTTATTCACATATGCAAATGGCGACGGCGCCGTTTTTGAAATGAACATAAATTCAGATTTTATGTTGCGGTAATGGGGCATGAATATTCAAGCCATATACATATACAGCTACTGACCATCAGCCGTTAATAGACGCCCCAAGCAAGTGTTGCACAATTTAGGACATTATGCAGCCGTCGCCATCGCCATTGCCGTCGCCGTCGTCAACGTTCTGGCCAACGGCTGCATTGACTTCGGACGATAATTACTTGGCCACTGGAATTTGAGGGGAGTGGGCAAAGGGAAGTTCAGTAAATGTGAAGTTCAGTAATTCAAATTAGTTAGCTGAGGTTTGGTTTCTGTGTGTGTGTGTGTGTGTGTGTGTGTGTGTGAGTGTATGTGTGGCAGCCATTACTATGGCAGAGCAGAGCCTATACAGTGAGTGTCGTTAATATATTACCCCTTTATAGTTGAATGTGCCATAAATATGTATATATATATATATTCTTATAGCCTTTAACTGCCTCTGCCTATTCACATAAATTGCTGTCTAAGCGAATCGAATGGCTCGTCGTTTGTTTTAATATGCAAAACTTGGTAAATTGCAATAATTAAAATAATGAACGCTCAGATTATCGACTCAAATTATGTCTGCGGATGTGCAAAGTGGAAAGTATGGCCTACTTTTCCTACAACTCATCCTCTTTTTCTTCATTTTGCCACACTGTGCTCTGTGTTCAGCTGCTTCCTTCTGCTGGCCAAATTGTGTTGCAGCTATTTTTGTTGCCGGGATTTCTTGGTTTGTGTTTTTTGTGTGCTTAATTCTGTTGTCGTCAGAACTGGTTTAATTTGTATTCTCTTCAATTTGCATACATTAAAAGTTCGTTAAGCTTAAAAGATTATTGCAAAGCATTCAAATTTTGACACTTATAAGCCCAAAATGCACTTTCTCAGGATTTGTTGTGTTTCATCTATTCGCAGTTAATGTTGAATTGTTATGTTGTTTACATTTTAATTGGGACTGTTTAATATATTTATTGATATAATAAAATATAATTTATGGCATCATTTTGTCTGATTCGATCACATAAACATTAAATTAAACTTCTATATTTTTAAACTATTTGCACAAAACAAAAAATTGTTTTTGATTTGTTTTCAAAACATATAAATAAACACACATCGTGATTTATATAGCCATATAAAATTAAATTCGAAATATTACCTGCACATCATATTTTTCTGGTGTCTGCAAAATATTAGTGCGAATAAAAAATAATAATTTATGGAAAATAACATCAAATTTTGGTTATCTGCGTCTAGTGAAATTCCGTTGAAAATCAAGAAACTAAACGGAGGGTTTATAAATTGTCAAACAATTTATTTGGCAGTTAATCCGTCGTCAAATAAGCTTTAAATAAAAGCCTATTTTTAGCTTGTGTTTAATAAATTCCAGTTGCGACTTGTGTAATATATACAAAAACACCCATACAAACAGACTTATATCTACCCAAGAGTCGTATTCATTAATTTAATTTAATTTTAATTTCAACGCCAATTCGGCATCCCAAATATGACATACAAAAATCGTTGACGAATTCAATATATATAATATATATATATATACACGTATGTATGTTTGTGTGTAAATTAATAAATTTAATCAACGGCTGCAGCAGCTCCTGGGTCCAGGGACAGAATTGTCAACTTGCCATTGCGAGGAGCAGTTCACGCATTTCATGGCAAAATAACTCAAATTCCCAGGCAGTGGCCGAGGCACAGCCAGTTGCTTCACACATACATACATGCATACATCCATACATGTCCATGTGTCCTTCCTGCCACGTTGCGTAGGCCTGGTCCGATGCGAGAAAAAACTAATATTTTGCCGTGTGCATTCCATAATTGATTTATGAATTTTTAATGCAAACATTGAAAGCCACTGGCACGCTGAAAACAAAGAGTTGCTCCTGCCGTTGCAGGAACTGCTAACTGGCAACTGGCGACTGGGAACTGGGACGACGAAGACGACGACGACGACTACAGCAACTACTGAAACTGAAGTTAATTCAATAAAAGGAGCGCACAGCAACCACAACAGCAACAACTACAGCAGCAGCAGACAGCAGCAGCAGCAACAGCAACAGCAACTTATTCGCATTAGCAAAAACACGCATCAGAGCTATGGGTATTTTGGATTGGTATTGGTATTGGCAAGGAATGGACATGGGTATGGGTATTGCTTTTGCTTTTGCCTGGCACTGGCTGCTGGCTGCTGGCTGCTGGATGAATGTGAGAATATGCCAAATGCCACGACGCGTCGCCTCGAGTCTCGAGTCTGCAGCAGCGCCCCAGAGCCGCATCCAAAACCAAAACCAAATGTCGGCAGAGACCCAAGCTCAGCACTGCCTTCAGCTCCTGCTCCTGCTCCTGTTCCGGCTCATACTCCTTTTAATTTCGCTTATTGTTTGTCATTGCTGCTGCTGTTGTTGTTGTTGTTGTTGTTGGGCCCGTTAGTGCTGTCGGCGCCGTTGCCAGTTGCAATTCCAAGTCGACTGGCGTCAGAAGGAACCTATTGCGGAGCAGCTATCACTTTTTGTTTTTTGTTTTTGTTTTTTGTTGCTGCAGACTCTTTGTTTAGATGTTGTTGCTGTTGTTATTTGGAGTGCAAAAACAAAAATCCATAAACGCATCTTCAGCAGTAGCAGCAACAAGAGCGAAACGGCAGCAACAACAGCAAGCCACAACAAGCAGTGTGCACACACATTCACACACTCGAACACACACACATTCGCACACACACACTTGGACTTAAAAACAATAATAACAACAAGGGGAACTTCACAGCCCAGCCTCCTTTGATTCACACACGCACACACTGCAGCAATTGGCAATTGAATGGAATTGGCATTGGCTAGGTGGGATAGGGACTGGACCGCACCGCTACCCGTACTCGGACCGTACTCGTACCGTACCGTACCGTACCGACGGGCAGGCGTTTCGTGAGCTTTAACATAAATCATAAAATTAATAACCATAAAGTGACGGCAACAGTTTTTCCAAACATCTCGGTCCGAGCGGGTGGCCGCAAACGCTGCGGACTGCAAAGAGGAGAGGAGAGGAGAGGAGAGCAGCAGAAGCAGGAGCAGGAGTGTAGCAGGTGGGAGGTGGGCGGCACATATGGTTTGTCTGACAGTCTGTCTGTCTGCACTTCAAAGGCACTAATAATGGGAGCCCGCTCACTTGTGCAATTACGCTTGATGAGTATTTGCCTTTTTAGTTTAACGTTTCTTGTCGATTTGCCAATTTCAAAGTTTTTGCATTTACTTGCAACGGCTTGAGCAAATGTTGTACTACTTGTCTGTTGCAAGGTTCGATGGCTGCTTGGCATTCGTTTCGCTTTGAACTTGGGTCATGCAACCAATAGAGCGAGCTTAGTGTTTTTTGTTGTACTTCCTTCCCATCGGTAAATGATATTTAAATTTTAATTTGCACTTAAATTTAGTTCAAGTGGAGATAGTTGTATAGTTGTATTCCAAAGCAATTGTACAACAGAAGACTGACTAACTGAATATTTATTGGCATCGACAAATTTTAAAATTTGTTTCGGCTATTTATAAAATATGCAAATTCTGGTAACATTTGTATGAAAATGGTGTGGGTTATTCACAGTCAAAAACTGTGCCAAGTATATCAGAAAATGTATATTTTTATATTATAATTATTACATATTTTAAGAGCCGCTGATTATATGCCTGAGCTGGATTCTTTTAATTCCATAATAATTTTATATCATTCCGAAATTGGTATGAACTGCAGAGCATTTTTATTAAGGCAGTAAAAGCAATAATGATTTTATAGCATCCTTAAGATTAAGGTTAAGTGTAATATTTATGTTTGGGTGTTGAACTATTTTAAATTTTTCTTGTATCTTTCCCTGAATTATTTAAGTTATTTTATCTGTCGGAAATAAAAAATATAGTCCACAAACATTTGAACATATTAATTGCTTCATTGATTGAGTGAAAACAGTTTTGAATGAAACAGTTGTAGTATTTTGTGGTAGTAGTAATTTATTGAGTGTCCTGCTTTGAATATCTGGCTGTGAATATATCCTTGCCATGGCATGACAGGCATAAACTTCAAAGCGGACATGCAGTTCACACCGTTTATCGTAATATTGAAGTCGTAAAACAGCGCACTATAAGGCAATATTTAATAGTTGCCAACACTTGGCAACATTTGCAACATTTCCGCATTGTGGTAACTAAAGCCGTCTTTAAGCCAGTGCCACAAACCCCTCGAGACCAAAAACCTCTCCGGTGCTTGTGTCTGTGTGTCCACCTCATGATAAACTCGCCGCTGCGCTGCGCTTCCTCCTCCGCCACCAGCACCACCAGCAAACCGCTGGCGAACCATCCACAGTGCATCCCAGAGTGGGTGAGTGAGAATCATTAAAAATAAACTGACTTGCGTGCCGATAATAAGCGCTGGCCGGTGGCTGCTTCGCCGGACCGCACTCTGCCAGACGGACGGACGGAAGGCAGGCTGGCTGGCTGGCTGGCTGGCTGGCTATTCGGGTCCGGGGTCCTCAGTGTCGTTGTCGTCGCTGATATGTGTTTTTTATGGACGACCACAAAAACTGAAATTGATGTTCGAATCGCATATAAAAATAAAGAATAATAAGAAATGAGCGCGCGCAGCGTTTTGTACATTAGAAAGAGAGAGAGAGAGATAGAGATAGTGGGAGAGTGTGTGTGTTTGTGTGTGTGCGAAAGGGAGAGGTAAGCCGGTCACTTGTTGTGGTTTTTTGCTGGGATCGCTGTGTGTTGTTCGACGGCGTCGTTACAGTTGGTCGCCGGTTCAGGCTGTTCAGCGTGGCTTTGGCCACTGGCCAGTGGTCATTCATTCAGAATTCATTAGATTTCATTCATGAAAACGCCTTCATTATGCAATAATTTCACGTTTGTTGCGGAGCGGGCAGATCCCTCGACTCCAACTCGTTGGAAGTTGGAGGCTTTGCGGCCCTGGTGTCCGCACGAAATTGCTTTGCGATTAGATAGCCTGCAGGAGGTGTTGAAAATCAGCTTGTTCACCTGTGAATTACCATTATTATTTAAAGCATAAATTTGACTACTGTAGCCGAGTTCTGATTGAAGCCGAAGTGGCCAACAGTAGCCAGTAAAAAAGGATGCGTAATCGGTTAAGTTAATATTTTTATTTTGGTAACTTATCACTTTTTGTATCTCGTCGCTAATGATAAATTTGTATTTATGTTTTTAATAATTCATTAACTTGAGGGAGATTCCAAATAAAAAAATAGATACACAATGAAATTAATGTTTAGACTGTCGGTTAAATGAAATTCAGTTGAATTCTGATAGCTGACACATTGAATGCGAGCATTTCGATTAGCCCATTTGCTTTATTTCACGCTCATTGACTTTTTTCGATTTTCTGGCATTTACTGAGTTATCTAGCACTTGCCTTATAGGCTACTCCTGTTGTTGTTTTGTTGTTGTTCTTCTTGTTGCTGTTGTGAGTCGAGTCGAGTTGAGTCGAGTTGAGTTGAGTTGAGTAGAGTTGAGTCGTTGAGGTCTTACCGTCTTTCAATCGGAATCGGCGATTCGTTGCGGTTATCGTGCAAGCGCATACCTGAGTGCCTCATTCAATTTCTTGCCCTTTTTGCCTTGCCTTGCCTTGCCCGGCCCAATGCCCACACTCAATCGAGCGGTCGATCTGTCCGCTGATACTTGCAACGTACCCTCTTCAAAGAGGCAGAGAATCCGAGACCGAGACCAAGACCGAGACCGAGACCGAGACCAACACCGTGCCGTAGCCCGAATTCAAGCCCGAGCTCGAACTCTTGCAACGACAGCCCCAACAACAACAACAACAATAACAACAGTATCTGAAATCTGACTGTGATAAATTGAAAATTAATGAAGTGAAAATAGATGGAACGGATCGCAAAATGCGCCAAGCCAATAAAATATTTTGACATTTGGAGTTATCGTCTTAATCTGTTTTGTTGATTTCGACCTGAAGGTTCGGCACTCTCGAGCAAACAACCCTTACCTCAACCGCATACCCCGGCCCCTACCTCAGCCCCTGTCCCTATGCCTGTCCTTAGACCGAACGCGAGGCGTCCTTGATCGCATCACCTGTTTTAAGAATCGTACCATTGCGAACCTTTTTTCGCCTTTTCGCCTTTTAATTTTTGTATTTTTATTTATATATATATATATTTGACTTTTTGTTCAAGTTGTATCTTCATCTACTGCTCCACTCTTTTTAGTTACTTGGCGGTGCGGCGACTGCGACCGGCGACAGTCAGAGCGGACATGGTGGGGGCTCGGTGCCATCGCCACTGTCCGGCACAAATGAGGCCTCGCTCAGTCCCTCGGGCGGCTCGACAACGACGGGCATCACCGGCCCCGTCAGTCCAGGTGCAATTTCGCAAACGTCCAACAATGCGGGCCCTACAGTCTCGACGGTCACAGCGCCGACGGATGCAGATGCAGTTGGCAACGATGTTGTTGGCGGCGGCGGCGGCAGCGGCAGCGTCACAGAAACAGATGCCTCTGCTGCCGGCGTCGGCGGCGTCTCGAGCAGTGCTCTGGAGGCGCATGTCCGTGTTGCCAATACCATGTCCTGCTGCGAAAACGGACGACCGATCATCACTGATCCCGTCTCGGGTCAAACGGTCTGCTCGTGCCAATACGATTCGGCGCGTTTAACCCTCGGTGGCTATTCTCGCATGGCGTTACCTTCCGCTGGCGTTGGAGTCTACGGTGGACCGTATCCATCCAACGAGCAGAATCCCTATCCTAGCATTGGTGTCGACAACTCGGCCTTCTATTCGCCTCTGGTAAGTGTTTGATATGCATCTAATTGGATTAGTGCAGTGGGCAGAAGTCCATGCTGAATGTAAGTTGACAGGTGGCGATTTTGCAATCAGGTTTCTCTGAACGGTACCATCTCATTTGATCTGCTGCGATCTGTCGACCGGCTACTCCAGTAGGCAATTAGCGGAAGCTTACACGCATGTTATCGGCTCAGCCTGACTGGCTTTTCCTCAATCGATGACTAACTATAAATTGTGTGTTTGGTTTAATTTTAGAGTAATCCCTATGGCATGAAGGATGGCAGCTCTGGTTCCGATATGAATGCTTGGACCTCGGCTGGTCTGCAATCAACTAGTGGATATTATTCCTATGATCCCACATTGGCCGCTTATGGGTGAGTCTCTAATCCAAGAAAACAAACAATAACAAAAAAACAATTGCGCCACTAAGGAAAGTTAAGCGAGTTTAAAATGTTTTCATGGGCCGGCGACCAAAAGTTTTCAGGCACCGTCTGCTGAGTTTTTTTGTTTTTTTTTTTGTATTTATTTTATTTTTATCACCACAAAAGGTTTTTCCTGGCAAACTGGCAAGTGGCCCAAAACAGGCTTAAACTGTGGCACCGAGCGTAGACAATCTGCAAGGGTATCGCGCTTGTACTCCTTAACGCCTTTCCTTCCCCTCCCTTCCCATCCCATCCCATCCCATACTCAACCCTCTAGCCCTAAGCAAGCGATGCTTTTAAAAAATATACTAAACTCAATAAGTTTATGGCTGGAAGGGACGCGGTTGTTGATTGTGTGGTGAGCTGGGCGGAAGGAAGTTACAAATGCACAGATTAAAATTCCCAGGGCGTTTCTTCTGTCGCGGTTTTTATTGTGCGTTTCGCTTTTTTTTTCATTTTTTTTCCGTGGAGCGGAATTTTGTGAATCAAAAGTGCAACACGTACGCGGTCTAGAAAAATTGAGTGAAGAAAAGCAAAACTGAGTCTTAAACAGTTATGAATTTCAATCATTTAGTTAAGGAGTTGCGCTTTAAGCCATATTCAAGCTTTGCTTTAATAAATTATAATTTTAAAAAATATATATAAAAGGAGTTTATAAAGCTATGACATTCGATTTACCGAGGTCGGTTTTAATATATAAGAGATTAAGTATACATTTGTTGATCTGATTCTGATCTGTCTATAGTGTATAATTATTTATTGCGCCGACTGAAAAATAATATTCTAATCACAGAAATTTTGAATTAAAGGTTAAATTTAGTCTGAGTTAGTTTCTAAAAAGTAATAATATGATACGAAAAAATTCTCCGAACTTATATATTATAAACTGTATGCTTTTCGTGTCAATTGCCTTTTTAAAAATGAATTTAATTGCAGTTTAATGTATGTATCTATTTTTTGTATATAATTTAATTAATGAAGTATTTATATTTAATTTCACAATTATAATGCTCTTTTCGCATTTTATAAACACTTTTTAATTGCCTTTGTCCCAATGTACTGAGTTGTGTGCACTTTGCAATATTTCACTTGGCTTTTGGCTTTAAAGTGTCGCCTTGACTTGAATGTAGATAATTGTTTAGCTGATGAAGGTGTGGCGACCAACAGTGCTATTTGCCAGGGCACTGATATGGGCAAGGTCTGGACACGTCCGATTTACCGGAAGAAACACTCGATGTTTATCCAATATATCAGGGCGTTGTCACCGGAATAGTTATGTATGGTTTTCAAGTTGCTGTCAGACAAGTCTTTAGTGAGCGAACTATTTATTTATATTCTGAATGAATGCTTTCAATTGCAGCTATGGGCCCAACTATGATCTCGCCTCTCGCCGCAAGAATGCCACACGTGAATCGACTGCCACATTGAAGGCGTGGCTGAGCGAGCACAAGAAGAACCCATATCCGACTAAAGGCGAGAAAATTATGCTGGCCATCATCACAAAGATGACGCTGACACAGGTCTCCACATGGTTTGCGAATGCACGACGTCGTCTGAAAAAGGAGAATAAAATGACGTGGGAACCAAAAAACAAGACGGAAGACGATGACGACGGACTGATGTCTGATGATGAGAAGGACAAGGAGCCCATCGAGGGCACAAAGCTGCAAGCCAGCGACACATTTGGTAAGCTGTCACCTAATTTGATGCCCTGCACTCCCCTTATCTGTCCACCCTCTTTCCCTCTTTTCCCCTTTCGCTGTCTCCATGTCATTGACCTAAGCAAGTGTTTGAAGTCAAGTGTGTTTTTTTTTCCGTTAAAAATTGCGCGATTGGGGCTTGATATCATTTTAAGGTCGTATTTGTATTGTTTTTCTAAACGGCCCAGCTCCAACGATTTTAGTGCCTGTCGCTTTCTGACCCTTCGTGCCCTGTGTTGGCCCCCCAAACTACAGATTTGTGGCAGCGGCCTTTTAAGTACAATTTATGTGGCGAAACGAATGTTATGCAATCTTTGTCTTCTCGGTCTGCCGTCCGCCGTCCGCCGTCCGTCCGCCCTTCTGTCTGACCATCCGTCTGTCCGTTTATTTGTCTGACTGCTTAGGCGACATCCTCCCCGGAAGTTGACAGCACATTGTTGGCAAAGTGGCCTTGCGCCCGCACTCTCCCCTCTCTCCCCCCTCTCTCGCACTCTGTCCTTCCATGTGGATGAAAGCGGCCTTGCTCGACTTGGCGACTTGACTTGCACTGAATTCCTATTTTGCCGCTCGAGGAACGCCGTTTGCTGCGGGGCAGGGGTGGGGACTGGGAGTGGAGTTGGCGGAAGCCGAAGCATTTTGTTGCTGAAAGCTTTCTGCGTCGAGGCAAACGGCGCGAAGGGTTGCACGCATCAACGCCCACCAACAATTTCAAGGGTTTTTGCCCTGCGCCTGCCAAAGACGAGGCAAACGCCCAGTTGCCAGTTGCCAGTTGCCAGCTGTTAGTTGTTGGCTGTTCGACTGTTGGGAGGCAAGTGGCAACTGCCAAGTGCCAAGTTTTGTAGTGCTCTAAGAACTTGTCTACTTCCGCTTTGCGACTTGAAATTAATTTAATTTAATTTTTGTCTCTGTTCTGCTGTCTTTTGTCTCTCCCAACTTTAATTCAACCCAGATCCGGGCCATCAACGTATCAAATCTGAGCTGGCCAACAACAAGTCTGACAAGGATCTGGACATTGAGGAGAAGCTGGAGCGTGAGCCGCAGAATTTGCTGGCCATCAGGGGCATGCCACCATATGGTGCGCCCAGTTTCAATCCGCATCCGGCGCACTCCTACAATCCCTATGCCCATGTCCATGCCCAGGCACAGGCCCAGGCACAGGCACAGGCGCACGCCCAGCAGGAGCAACAACAGCAGCAGCACCAGCAGCAACAGCAACAACAGCAGCAGACTGCAACTGGCGTTTATTACAATCCGGGCTATGTGCAGAGTCATGGCCAGGACGTTGGTGGTGGCAGTGGTGGTGGTGTTGGTGGCAGTGAATATACCGTTCAAAAAAACCAGCTGAGCAGAGACTGTGGCATACCGGTGCCGGCGAGCAAGCCCAAAATCTGGAGTGTGGCCGACACAGTCGCCTGCAAGACACCACCGCCTACGGTATATCTCGGCCAGAATTTCTATCCACAGCAGCAGCAAACACAACAACAATCCCAAGTGTTGCCCCTGCTGCCCGATTCACCCACGCATCCCACGCATCCGACGCAGCAGCAGCAGCAGCAGCAGTTGCAGCATCCGGAGCAGCAGCAACAGCAGCATCATCTGCAGGCTGCGACACAGATTATGGGGCCGCAAGTCGAGCTCGGTTCGCCGCTGAGTATGATGAGCAGTTACGCCGCCGCATCGCCATATTCGCGGATACCTACGGCGTACACCGAGGCCATGGGCATGCATACCAAGACGCCTATCAATATGCATCGCGAGCTCTCCCAGCTGCAAGTGTTGCATTCGAGTTCCAGCCAGACGGCCTATCATCATCAGCAGAGGGTGGGGTTTACCGAGATTCAGCCCGATACGCCGCCACAGACGCCTCCAAACATGAAATTGATCAGTCACAACAGCACCAACAACAGCAACAACAATCACAATCATCACAACAGCAACAACAGCAGCAACAGCAACAGCAGCAGCTCTACGCTACATACAGGGCCCGGCCCGGTAGCGGTAACATCCATGGGTTCAATGCTTTACAATAACAACAACAACAACAACAACACCAACACCAACAACAACAATAACAATAGTAATAATATCTATAACAGTAGCAATAGTAGCAGCAGCTATCTAACGAGCAATCGCTCAAATTCGTAAGGCCCTTTCAATCACATTACACATTAGATGCCGATACCAAATATATATTTCAATAACCAGGCCCAAGTGGACAAGTGCAAATATCGCCACAGCATCGTTTGTGAGATGCAATTACAATAGCGATAACGATAACGATTACGATTACGATAACACACTAATTAGTTTGCAATAAATGTAGCTTAAGTATGGCAATAAAACTTAATTTCCTACCATATCGTAAATTATTTTCACTTTATAACTTTAATTAGCATATTTACACTCATCAATTTGAAAATGCCGTCTCCAAGTTGCGAGACTCACACGACAACAGTTTGCCATGCAGTGGGATTTGAGTCATTACCCCATTGAGTTTAATGACTCGAACATGACACTCCACAACAACAGAGCCACCAAGAAAGCAAACGGCAAACGGCAAACAGCAAACAGCAAACGGCAAACAGCTAAAACAAAAGCAAAAACTTAGAACATTTCGGTACTCAAAACAAACAAAGATACATTTGTATTTCGCATGGTGCTCTCACTCTCTCACACTCACTTTGTATCTATCTCTATCTGTCTCGCTGTATAAAGTTGTGCATACATTAAACAGTTATTTAATTACCACATTTACGCTAAGTGTGCACACATACATACATAACATACATACATGCATGCATACATACATCTACATCAACATAGTATGTGGTTATTATGAGCTTAACCACACTTAATTTACATCAACTCAAATACCACAAGAAAGAAACAAAAAACACTTCAAAATGTATCTTAAACTATTAGAATTAATATTGAAATCGGAAACACTACAATTCAAACAGTTGTCATATGGGTAAAAAGTATGCTTGGTGTACTTGGGATGGAGTTGAATTAATGCTAAAAAACTTGATAACCAGTGTTTTCTGTGATATATCCATATACAACTTGTATAAATGATGCACAGATTGTACGATGTACGATGTCACTCAGTCGAGTGGTAAACAAATCAACTTAGTTCATAGTTTGCAGTTTAACAGCACTTACTAATTAAATATGTGCATCGATATGGTTGCTCTATAGATATGTATGTATGTATAATTATGTAATCTATGTATGCACAATGATGTTAGGCATACTTAAATTATCACTTCTTGTCGGATTCCTAGCTAATTTCTATAGTTTACTCTTATTTTAAGTGTGTACATACATATAGAGTATACATAAATAAATAGGTTCGAAAATGTAATAAAATTTTAAATTAATAATAAAACTAAGTTTGTAAACTTGCACTATACAAAATAAAATAATTTAAAATAAAGAAACAACATCAGATTAAGATCATCATTTTGAAACAATTCGTGCTTTGTCGAATAAAAAAAATAATAAATAAAATAAATTCAACAAATTACTTTGGATATATGTACGTTAATTCTGGTAAGAGCTATTAATTGGCATTCCTTTAAACGGGGTATTTTTAGTCTGAATTCTATATTGGATGAAGTAAGTTTTAATTCTTCCTATTCCTGCAATCAATATATGCTTAAAGTATGTTCAATTGGATATCGAATATCTAACAGTAATTTTGGGGCTGACATTTTTCTTACATCAGATTGTCACAATATAAACTCGTTTATTTGTTTAATGGAATGTTTATATGGGAAGCCCTTTTTGGTATAATTTTTGCCATATACTATTGTAATAACCTACTTTTTATTCATACGTCGATTTATGAATTTATTCGCTAGCACTCCAAACAGAACAATGAGCAATGAATAATTTATAAAAATAGGAAAAAAAAAACAGAATATAATCCCAGCAATGTATAGATTTCAAATAAATACGAATTGTCAATGGACAATTGGAGCAATGTGAAGTAGCCACACTTGTTTAAGATCATAATCTGCATTGTATTGACAGAGTTTGGCTACTCTTTCGTAACCCTTTATTTAATAATTTCGAGAGGTGGGGAAAAATGTCAAAGCGGATTAAGCTCGTATTGTTATGATATTTGTGTGTAGAATTTACGTATTTTATTTCTTTTTTTTTTGTTCGCCGATAATTCCACTTTGTCATCAACGATTTATGGGTTTTCTCTACTTTTGTGACACGCGTCACATATCGTATCGTGGCCAAGTGACTGAGTGTCTTTTCATTCCGTAAATAGGTAAGAAATTTGTGTTTGATGTGGCCACTCCCAAATGTATGGCAATCAATTTGGGCACTATAGACCAACTTGGACAATGATAAAAAAAATGGTGATCCCATCTTAAGAACCATAAACAAATTTAATTCACTTGAAGCACTCACAAAAAAAAAAAGTCAAAAACAAAGAAAGGTTTTACTGTCGCAATTAATGGTACATTTATGTGTCCAGCCGTATCAATCTCGGGGACTAAAAGAGCTAGAGGCAAAAGATTTTACAAAGGCAGGTCAAGTTTATTGAGAATTCCTGATAACTATCGCAGTTGAACGCAATCGTACTTGGTTAGATTTTCTACAAGATTTAGTGATACAATAATTGAATTACTGAAAAATACTTAAATGTGAACAATATTTCTTAATTAAATATTTCATTTTAAAATATATTTATGACCCTGTACACCATATGTATGTATTTATTATATGCAATTGGCTATTAATGAAAACAATTAAGAGCTCAACCGTGTTATGGTCCGTGCGAGAATCGTTAGATAAATTCTCAAAATTTTCAAATTAGCTGCCTGAATTATGGTAGCATCTGCATTCAATTGCACACTCTATGCAAAGTGCACGCAGTCTGGCATGCAACTACGTAATTATTTACATACATATCGACATATGTATACATATGTATTTACGGGTGCATTGACCATGCCCGGGATCATCCCTATATATATACGCGGCTGACTGAAGCTCCGCTTCTGCATTGGCTTTTGTCTGTACTGACTGCTGGCTGGCTGGCTTTTGCAATTTTATCCACAGAGTGGAAAATGTCAACATTAATTTCGGGCTTTTATTTGTGCGAATCGGGCTTGGCCACATTTTAAATTAACCCAAAACATGTTTAGGGGTTTTCCGCACAATTGCCCCATCGGTGCAGGCGCAACCATGTGGCATAATGGCCTTTGCGAATGTTGCAGCACCTGACGCCCCTTTTCTATGCGATGCTACTCATTAAGAGTGCGTTAAATAGGGTTTAATAAATTTATGCAGAAGAAGGAGATCTTTTCGACCCTGTACAATATCTATATGCTAAAGCAACATCAGCTTCATATATATTTATGCATGTGTTTTATGTAAGCTAAGATTTTATTAATGTTAAATTATAAATTTGATTTCATATCAGATTAGAAATAAATTAGATGCAGAGAGTGTGAGAGAGGGTGTTCATTTAGTACCCAATGTAGATTTTCCTTTTCCTAGAAGCTGTTTGAGATCCTTTTACATTTGTTATGTGTTCTGCTGGCAGGCAGCCCTTGGAATGGTTTAGAGCATGTTTCAATTCTTTTAGTGTCTAGGTCGGCAAGTAATTAGTAATCAGTTAATTTTGTTTGCCTTATTACGCTTTTTTTTTTTACATTTGGATAAGAAATATCGAACTACGGTGTGTTACAACCCACAAGGGATAAATCTGTCGAAAGATGAGTTCTTGTATGAAAAATGTTTTCTGTTTAAGTTATCTTAACTAAACTTATCAGGATTGCATGCCACTATACTCCTTATAATTGAACAAGATACTGTTAAAATCGGATTAAATTATTATATAGTTGTAGCTTTTGTTATACTGCTAACATATATTTTTTATATTTTAACAACATCAGAATACTATATCATATAGCTTGTATTATCGGTATTTACTGTGCCAAAGATAGCCATACTTTTTTCTTGTAAAGCCCTGTGTATTTGAGCCCTTATTATTATTGCTATTTGTACTAGCATAATAATAAAAGTATTAGTTTTAATTTGTCTTCACATGCGTGTCTTGTAACAGGTATGTCATTTGAGGTTATAAAAAACCGGGTTTAAGCTTTAAAGTTTGTTGATTAAGGACGATGACACTAACAATATAGAGTGATTTTTATAAAAAATATAAAAACACAACCGCAGTTGCGGGGGTGCGCGGGCGGGTCATTGGCAATCCGGATCCGAAACAGGTCCGCAGGGTCCGGACGCACACGTGGTACATTATTCGGCTACAAAATGGCCAAAACAACAAACCGCTATAATTTACCATATTTTATGGCTGCGCTGTGGCAATAAAATCGCCAACAAGCGCTATAACTCATTCGAGAGCGGCCGCATTTGCCCGGCTGCAGCAGCAGCAGAAGCTGCCCCCGGCGCACGTTACACGTTCCACAGAAATAGAGCTGGACAGAGAGAGAGAGAGAGCGAGAGAGAGGGGGTCACAGGGGGAGCGGGTGGATGAGGACTTGGGTATGTTTTGCGTACATCCGCGGTTGTCCACTGTGACTACGAATATGAGCCGCGTGTATGTGTATGTGATTGGGTGTATGAATGGTTTCAATGATAGCGCCACACTATATATGCATGTGTGTGTGTGTGTGTGTGTGTGTTTGTGTGTGTGTGCGTGTGCAGTAGGCCCGCGGGCTCTAATTTGTATCTCAAATGCGTGGTAGGCGCAAGCGTTTTCTAATTTATCTATGCTGAAATGTACATTGATAGCGTACAAGTTTATGGCTCTGTTCTCGTTGTTATCCATGCGGTGGGAATTGTGGTCGCTGTTGTTGTTGGTGTCCCACCAGTTCCACTGACAGTAGCCGAAATACACATACAAACAAATGAAGGAAAAATGCCAATTTTACAATTGGTGCACAATGAAAATGCCAGCCCATCCAAACAGTTGAATGTATTTCAATTTGCGAAGTCAACATCCATGGCAGCCAATGTGAGGCGAGAGTCGAGAACAATTCCCATTCGAAAAACAAATTTAATTAATTTTATTTAAATTCATTGTCCTGGCACAAGGACACGGGGCGCTGCTCGTTAAATTATTGTCGCCTGCTGGTATGTGTGGAAATAAAATAAAATTGTTTTTGTGGTTTTTGCCCAAAGGACGCGTGTCGCCATTTTTCATTTCGCGCAGCCCAACATCAAACTTAAAAAAAAAACAGCGAAAAAGCAAATAAATAAAAAACAAAAATCCAAACAACAAACATACGCAGATCGAACAAGGCCGGCCCAAACCCGCACTCGTCTTGACAGGGCTTAAGCCAATGCTGCTGCTGCTGCTGCTGTTGTTGTTGTTGTCTAGACTGCGCAGAGGCAGCTCGGAGTTGTATACTTAATGTGGCGATCCTCTAGTAATGAAGGGAGAATAATTTAAATATTTAATTAACACATTCCGGCGGTAAGTTTTTTTGGTTAGCCAGACGTTCCCGCCGTGAATCTCTGCCAGCCAGGTTAGCCAGGATGAACTGACACAGAGACGCCATGCAAATCGTGCCTCCAATCGCCA